ACCCGGTCGGATCGGCTCTGATAGGTTACTACCGGCGGCATCGGTTGGGAGTCAACCCTGCCAGCGTTGTTTCCTAGCCAGGGGCACCGTTTCTCGCCTGTGGGTCGAGTTGGCAGGCACGGGGAGGAAATGGTAAAACTTTCATACACGGTTTGCTTCCTTTAGGGCATCCACTGGTTATGGAATATGCCAGCACTGTCATTTCGCTGCTGCGTTTCAACCAAACTCATTTTAGGAGTGTACACGTTCTCCCTTGATTTGCTCGCCCAGCCTTCTCCATTCTCTCCTCTCATTGCAAGAGTAAAAATTGAACAAATAAACACACACATACACACTCACAAACTGAGGCAAACCAAGACGTCAGAATGGAGAAAAATAAAATAAAATTATCCTTAGCCTGTTCAAACTCTGATCATCCGGATTTTAGATGGAGATCTCACTTCCTAAAGTTACACTTAGTTTGTTGATGAGACTGGTGGTGCCAATTTTTTTAAAAAAATGCTGGGAAGGGGACGTGCCCTCATGATGGCTTCATCAGCACAAATTTCACAAACCACAACTCTCTTGTAAATTCTCCAGTCTCTCTTCTGTATGTTCCACACTTGTAACTAAGATGTATGGAACAGACACGTGTTGCCTCAGAGAGACCAAGACAGGCTCAAGAGTGTTAAGCGCCACAAGGGCAGAAGTGTTTATAGCACCACTTTTGAAAGTGGAGATACGTGGCTTCATTTTAAGCTTTTCTGCTCCAGCATGTAACACACTACGCATATATTTAGGAATGGATATATTAAGACAGGCACATTGCAAAATGTGTCACTCCAGTGTCACAGTAATGTTCATGGGGGCTGTCATGACATTCATTTTTAGACATCATTGGGGGGGGGGAGAGATTTAAGTGCAGAAGGTTGCATGTTGCTTAATGTTCTACATGTGTGCAGTCTAACACCTCTATCCTTTGGGATCAAGGTGCTATCCTAACAAGTCAAGTTGCTGGACATTCCTGTCCTAACGTTGTGCTGGCCTAGTGAGTGGGCTGAGAGGCCTTTAGGTGCAGTGTGACTCTGCTCATTTCCCTTCGTCTCACCTTTTTGGTTTTGATTTGATCCTGATGCCAGCTGATCTCAGCCAGGGCAGCAGTCCTGTTAGCAAATCTGTTAGTGCAGGTTGGTCCAAGATCAACAAACCGAAAGGGGCTAACGTCAGCCCAAGACTGGTCGCTCAGGGCACAAGAAGAGGCTTCTGCCCATTCCAAAACTACTCGCATTATCTCTTTCAGCTTGGACCGCACTATAAATCATTAGTTTTAAAAATAAGCAGTGGGAGTTTCCAAGAGTGGCATGCAAATGGCCACAGTTGACCCCCCAGTCACACATTGATTGTTACCTCTTTCAGAAGTGCTCTTTTGACCCTTCTAAATATGACCGTGCCTCTCTCTCGCACGCGCACGCCCCCCCTGCAATGTACAGCAAATCCCATAAATCTATACGGATGGTGGATCCAATGTGAAAACTAGTAAGTTGAGGAAGGGTTTGTGTCCTAACAGATGAACTCATGTGTCCACCCGCATCAACAGAGACACTCATCCATACCCACCAAGACTAACTACACAGAGACAATCATGGATTTTACCAGTTTCAAATGCACTTCACCGGCCGAATACTGTCCGAAGTTTGCCTAAGAGTATGACCTTGACAAAAGGCTGTACAGGTCATGGTACCCAATTCTTGACCCAATGTGGCTCACAGGACATTTTAAAATGGTAGCACATTAAACTACAGTCAAATAGCAAACATTGGGATAGAATTAAATTCAGTAATGTTGTTAGAATAAAATTGCTATAATTTTTTTAAAAGAATCAATTAAAATCATAATAATTTAACTTACATTAAAAGCACATTCACTGGGAAATGTCTGGCCCTTAATTACCAAACGCCTGCTTAAATATGGTCATTGGAAGGAGAACGGAGAGCATGGGAAAATCTAGCCTGCCTTGGTAAGGAGTTCGAGAGCCTGGGTGCAACAGCTGGGAAGGCCCTCTCTTGACTTCCCACCCAGAGGGATCTCTGAAGATGGCAGAACTGTGAGAAGGGCCTCTCCAGCAGATCTTAAAGCCCAGGCAGTCTTGTGTAGGAAGGTATCGTCTTTCAGACTCAAGTCGTACAGGGTTTTATAGGTCATAAATAGCATTTTGAACTGTGTCCAAAAACAGACTAGTAGCCAGTGAAGCTGCTGGAGGAAGGCAGTTGTATGTTCCTTGTAACTTGACAGGTCAACAATATACAGTAGTTGGGCATGTGTTGGGCTGGCTGAATTTTCGAAACACTCCTCAAAGGCAGCTCCATGTGGAGTCCACTTCAGCCATCTGGCCAGAATATAACTAAGGCATGCATCACTGTAGTTGAGACTTGAAACAGATTCCGCTACAGCAGTGGTTCCCAGCCTTGGGCCCCCAGATGTATTTGGACAACAACTCCCAGCACATTTAGAGGTGGAGGCTTCTGGAAGTTTTGGTCCAAGACATCTGTGGACCCAAGGTTGGGAACAATAGCCCTAGAGCCTCAGTTGGCCCTACTGAAAACCATCAACTGTAGTAGGACCCCTGTACCCATGGAGCAGGTATCCACATTTTCAGTTGTCTGCATCCACCAGCGTGCACGCAGTGTGCTCATGCATATAGCTCTTGCCTCCTCCCACGGATAGGAGCAAATAGGCTTGCTACTATCTATGGTTTCAGGCATCTGCTTGGAAGCGATTCCCCATGGATACGGGGGGGGGGTTCCTATTGTAGTGCCTGATTGTGGCCATTTGGTGTACTCTTCTGTTGAGTATGCCTTATGAGCTGCAACCATGAGACCTTTCCCCCTCACACTCATGGCTATCCACTTCTTTGAAAATTCCTGTTCTTCTTCCTACTGAACTGACCCACCCTGCAGCTCTGAACAATAATCGAGAAACACCATTTTTGAGTTTTGGCTATAATAACTGGTATTCTCACATTCCTGGATCTTCATTCAGTTTTGCCTGGTCTGTCCCTCCTCTGGCTTTTTCAGCTGGGAGAGATTCCTCTTTTAAAGCCTTTGAGGAGGGGGAAGCAACACTGGGCTCTCCTGGGAAGTGAAAACAAGATTGCTGAACCAACCAGCTGGCTGTTGTTTTCTGCAGTTGCCCTGCCCACATAGGGCAGCAGAGAAGAAATGCCAGCCATGGCAGCAGCCAGTTCAGGAGTTTTCCTTCCATGCTGGAGCTGCTAATCCCTCTCTGGCTGGTCTCCTGGGAGGCTCCTGTGGGGACACACTTCATATTGTGGTGTCTACTCTGACCAATACGGAAGGGAGCTCTGTCAGGACTTTCCTTCTTCCCCAGCCTTTGCTTCCTCTGCCTGCCTGCAGGGCTGAGCGGTGTCCCTACCAGAGAATCAACCAACCAGGTGAAGTAAAAAAAGCTCCTGTTGGCGAAGGTAGAAGAACCTCCCTACCTCCCATGGAAGTCAGTGCCCCCAAATTTCTTAACAGGGAACTTGATTTCTGCACCAGAGGAAGTGAATACAAGGGTGCGGAGAGCTGGCTGAGTACTGGGTAGAAAAG